AGTTTGCTTCGCCTTGGGGTCATGCCCTTAGCACAGCGATAGGGAAACTGAAGCACAGAATAGGAAGGGAAGGAACCCAGCCCAACTGGCTCCTGATGGGGGCTGACTGTGGGGCCTAGGAATTGACGATCCCCTACCCCCACCTCCAGCAACAACTGTACGTGGCCTCAGCCGTGGGTGTCACACACCTGAGCCTACACCGCTGCCAGGCTTATGGGGCTGCTTGTGCCGACTGCTGCCTCGCCCGGGACCCCTACTGCGCCTGGGATGGCCAGGCCTGTTCCCGCTACACAGCATCCTCCAAGAGGTGTGGACCCCCAGATCCTTGGAACTTTAGCCACCAGATGCAGGGCCCTGTCCTGGGTGTTTGGAGATGGAGGTGATATTACCCGGGGGAAGTCTATGGGTGAGACATCCTACCCTCGAGTCTTAGGGGTACAGGCACCTGGGGGGAAGCTTCCTTGAGAATACTCCTTCAGGAGCTATCCTCACCAGGCGGAGCCGCCGGCAGGACGTCCGGCACGGGAACCCCATCAGGCAGTGCCGTGGGTTCAACTCCAATGGTGAGTGTGCTGTGCATCACAGTGTGGAGCCCTCGGCAGCCCACCCAGCTGCTCGCAGGGTCCCCCACTGGAAGGATTCTCCCATGGTTCATAGGGGTGAGGGGGCTCAGGGTTTTGGAGATAGGATGTCCCTAGCCACCCCCTCAAGAAGTGGATGCCTGATGGCCAGCCCTGCCTTTATGAATGGGTGTCCTGTATGCGCTCCTCAGTGCTGCCCCTTGCTAGCCTGCAGTCTGCCCAGAGGCAATGCTGCTTCCCCACAGCGCCCTCTTGTTCTACAGCCAACAAGAATGCCGTGGAGTCGGTGCAGTATGGTGTGGCGGGCAGTGCAGCCTTCCTTGAGTGCCAGCCCCGCTCACCCCAGGCAACTGTTAAGTGGCTGTTCCAGCGAGATCCCAGTGACCGGCGTCGTGAGGTGATTTCCTGTGCCCCACAGTCCTCGCTGTGGATGCAGGCGTCCCTTGTACAGTAGAAATTCCACGTGGGTGGAATGTGGCATAGGGGCCAATCTGGGGAAGCCCTCGTTCTAAGAAAGCCCCTCCAAACTCCTTTCCCTACATGGAAATCATTTGGGCGACTAGTTATATGGAAACGCTGTCGAGTTTCCATGGTATATGAAAACCATTTATAGGCATGCCTCTTTACATGAAAATTCCAGGTGTGTTCTCCACTGGAAGTACACCTCGTTGTGTGGAAACATCACTTGGTTGAGTTCCAGTATATGGACATTCTGTGGGGTAGCCCTCATTTTAAGGGAACACTTCCAAGGCATCCCTTTTTATATGGAAACTCCATGAGGGTGCCCCAATTGAGTATTCTCATTAAATAGAAGTTCTGTGTATATGCTCCAAAATTCTCTCATTGTACAGAATCCCCTTATGGTCATCCCTCCTGAAATGGAAATGTGTATTGGTGCCTTCTTCAAATGTTATGTGGTTTTTCTTGGTATATGGAAATTCCACATGGGTACCCCTACATGGATTGGCCACAAAGGTGGTCTGATCAGGGAGCTGGCTGCGGCAGCAGAGTGGTCAAACAGTCCCTGAGCCCCCGCCCCCTACCCCTGCAGATCCGTGCAGAGGACCGCTTCCTGCGCACAGAGCAGGGCTTGCTGCTTCGTGCCCTGCAGCTCGGGGACCGCGGCCTCTACTCCTGCACAGCCACCGAGAACAACTTCAAGCATGTCGTCACACGAGTGCAGCTGCATGTACTGGGCCGGGACGCTGTCCATGCTGCCCTCTTCCCACCACCAGCTGTGAGCGCCCCTCCACCTGCAGGCGCTGGCCTCCCCACGCCCCCTTACCAGGAGCTGGCCCAGCTGCTGGCCCAGCCAGAAGTGGGCCTCATCCACCAGTACTGCCAGGGCTACTGGCGCCACGTGCCCCCCAGCCCCAGGGATGCCCCAGGGGCACCCCGGCCTCCTGAACCCCAGGACCAGAAAAAGCCCCGGAACCGCCGCCACCACCCGCCGGACACATGAGGCCAGCTGTCTGCGCCCTGCCATGGGCCAGCCTAGCCCTTGTCTCTTTTAATATAAAAGATATATATATATAAATATATATAAATATATAAAATATCTATATTCTATACACACCCTGCCCCTGCAAAGACAGTATTTATTGGTGGGTTGTATATAGCCTGCCTCAGCGGCAGCATCACCCAGAACTTAAACCCATGCTGGTCAGAGATGGCAGAAAACAGAGCCCACCAAACCAGGCCCAGCCAGTTGGCAGGGCCAGGCCAGGACTACACAGTCCCTAGACTCAGCTGGGAGTCTACCTGCTCGACACCACCACTGGGATCTACAGGACACGGAGGGAGCAAGCTCTACCTGGATGCGGCATGGACTGTACACCTTTGTCAATGTGTGCTGTCAACCTGTGCCGCTGGCATAGATGTGGATGCGAGGACTGCTTCAGAGACTCGGGGTGGGGGGTGGGGGCTCAGATGCACTCAGAGAAGGGAAGAAGAGGTGGTCACAGGATGCCAGCCCCTGCCTGGGAGGGGGGCACTCAGTCAAGGCCAGCCCCTTCCCGGGTATTTATTCTGTATTTATTGGGGACAGGAGAAGAGCCCCACCTGGGTGCTGCAGCACCTCCAGCCCCTCCTCCCTCCCTTCCTGGCCACTCTACCTCTGCTTTTTCTGGGCCACTGTGACCCAGGGCCTGGGAGAATAGCAGAGAGGCCAGGAGCAGGAAGGGCTGGGGGAGCGGGGCATGGTGGAGGCTTGGGGCCTGCAGCAGCTCTTCAGGGTTCCCTTCTGCCCACCACTTCAGGTGATGGGTGTAAATAGCTCTGGGGGGCAGTTGGGTAGGTGGGTAGGGGCTCCTGGTGGCCCTCTGCTGCTCAGGCCACAGCTGCCCTTGGGTTCCATCTTGCTAATAAACACTGGCTCTGGGACTGGACTTTGGCTTTTCTCCTTGGCAGAGGAGGGAGGATGGGGGTCCAGCCTGTGCCCAGATTCTGTCTCTCCTGATCTCCCCACCATGTGGCCTGGCCACCAGTTCCCACACCTCTTCACTCATTCACTCATTCCATTCACTTTCATTCACTCATTCAACTGTTTGATCATTATTCAATGCTGCTTTCTCACCTGGCTTTGTGTCTGGCCTTGTCCTGGGCACTAAAGACTCAGAACTGGCAAGACAAAGCCACAGCCCTCACAGTCCAGCTTCCTCCGCCCTGAGAGTCGATAAAATTCCCATTCTTCCTGCCTCCTTCCAGCCAGCTCTCAGCAGAGGGCCCAGCATGAGCAAATGTCCAGAAGTGGGGAAGGCAAGGAGGAGAGATGGGGAGCTGCAGGAGAGAAGGAAGTGGGGCTGGGGGCCCTGGACCAAATTAATGAGTCAAGCCTTGGCAGGGGAAGCTAAGAGCTGGGGAGGTCAGGGATCTAGCAGGGCTTAGGGCTATACCTGGCAGGTAAGAGGAGCCAGGTGGAGACTGGGAGGCAGTGGATTGGCCTGACTACTTTAAATAAACCCAATATATAGAAACCAGGTTTTTGCTGGTTTAGCAATCCTGGGCTCCTGTACCACCCCAAACCCCTCGAGTATATAAGGGGCTGCAGAGACCCCCAGGGCCCACTTGCAATGTGGGAGGTGGAGGATGGATGGAACCTGAAGGCTGAAAGTGACACAAATGATCTGTTGCTCCTGGACAGATCCCTCTCATCCAACAGGGTAGATAGTGAAGCCACCAGCCAATAGTAGGAGCCGGTATCCACTTCCCACATGTTTAGGGACAGTCTTCAATGCTCAGTTAACTGGGGCCCTGGCACCCCCTCGTGGTCTCTTGGGTATGCAACAGAGTTGAGTACTAAAAGGCAGCCAGGTTTCCAGGAGGGAGTCCAGCCAGGAGGCCCTGAGAGCCCAGGGAGGGCCTCTGATGGGAGGTGGGAAACCTCCAGAGCCTGGGAGCTCAACACTGTGGCTCAATGGAACCACTTCTGCCCGGCAGCCCACCCTGTCCCATCTGAGCCCACACACAGACCCTTGATACTGAGGCAGATGTGCCCTAGAGATACACCTAGGCAGGTCCCAAGTACCCACTGGGGACAGAACAGGAACAGGGTAGATGAGCTCCACCCCTCCATGCCCCTGAGAACACCAAACCCGCTCTGGAACTCAGTTTCCCCATCTGACAACAGACCTGCAAAACATTCTCTTGAAGAGCCTGACCACCTCTGCAGATCAGAGACTTTGTTGCACTTGAGTACACATGTACACACAGGCACAGGCGCACACAAGTGTGTACACATACAGGCATACACATACATAAATGTACATGCACACAGGCACAAACACAGGCCAGCGTGCACCAACACACATTGCATGTGTACATGCAGGTGTACATTCACACACACATATGCACACATGTTAATCCACACAAGCACAGCAATGAACACATATGAACACTGTACACATGAAGAGAAATTCACAAAAGTACATCTACACATTTGCGCACACTTGCACACGTGTACATAAACATGCACTCACAAAAGCACAAACACACAAACGTGTACACACAAGTATATACTGACAAATACGTGTCATGTCATAGCCTTGGTTGGTGCCAGGAAAGGATAGACACACACAGCCAGGCACACAGCAGACATGCACGCCCACCCAAGCTCATTGGAATCATGGAGGCATGTAGAGGCCCTGCCCAGGTCAGATCCAGCCCTTGGTACCGGGCAAATGTAGGGTCCACTTTTTCCTCTTGACTCCCTGCAGACCATGGAACCCTGGCCCAGAGTCACCCAACCCTTTTCAATCACCTCCCGCTGTGTGACTCTCTGAGCCTCCACTTCCTCATCAGTAAAATGGAGCTGATGATGGGGCACCCACCCCCCAGGGCCAGTGTGAGCTTACAACAAGCTAAGGAGCAGTGCTGAGCCCAGTGCTGGGTAGGGGGCCTCTACTCCCCGCTGCCAGCCCCACCCTCTATTGTCCCGGCTCCTGGGGCTCGAGGCCCTATCTTCCCCTTTCTGAGGCTGGACCCTACCAAACTTATCTCCCTGCTCTAGGGTAGGGGCTGGACTGTCTCCAGGATCTTTCCTGGAGTGTTGGGCGGGTAGAGGGGAGTGCAGAGTCAGCAGTTGAGGGATTGGGGCCATGCCAGCCTGATTAGAAGGGCTGGGGGCTGAGCTGGATTCACCTGTCCTTGTCCCTGATTGGCTCTGGGGTACCTCCAGCTCCCAAATCCCACTAAGCAGCCCCACCAGGGCCCGCACAGGTCTGTGGAGAGCCAGTTGGTTGCCAGTCCTAGGGCCAGAAGGGTGTCTGGGGAGGCCAGAGGCTGACCTGAGCCTGGCTCTGGGGATCCCCTCCATCCAGAAGAGCCACCTGACCACCGTGTTCCTTCACCTGCTGCTGGAACCATGGGAGCTGGGGCCAGTGCGGAGGAGAAGCACTCAAGGGAGCTGGAAAAGAAGCTGAAAGAAGATGCTGAGAAGGATGCTCGAACCGTGAAACTTCTGCTTCTGGGTAGGGGTGTGGGCCCAAGTGGGGCCATTGCCACCAGGGCATAGGCCCGGGGGCAGGCAGGTGGCCCTTCTGTGAAGCAGGGGTAACCTGGGAAGAAGAATGAGCCTGCAACAAGGCAGGGAACAGAGTGGGAGCCCTGGCAGGGCTTGGCCTGATAGGCAATACTCCTGTTCCCCAAGGCTGGGTGTCCCACAGACCCCTCTCCAGAGGGCCCTCCCTCAGGCAACCTCCCCTCGGGAGAAGTGTGTGCCAACCACATTTTTGTGCAGATGTGTGTATGAGGCACACTTGTACCCTGGCTGGGCTCCCTCAAGCTTCAGCCTTCCACTTGATGGGCCTTCTGGGAAGGGCTCAGAAATGAGGGGTCTCCTTGGTAGCCCCACAATAGGGCTGCTCCCTTGGGAAGGACAAGGTCACGGTGCTCCTGGGAGTGGGTAGCCTCTAGGACTGCTCAGATCCACAGACAATGACCCTCAGCTTCCAGCGTTTTATTGTTGGGAGACCTGCAAAGCAGCTAAAGGGGGTAGAGGGGTACTAATGCCCATTGGGGGATAGAGAAAGCCATGTCCCTGGTCCCATGGGTAGTGAGGGGAGATGAGGCTGACCCAGTGCCTCGAGGCCACTGCCTCGCCCCAAAGGGAAGAAGGAGCTGCTTTGAGAGGGTAGTGCAGGCTCCCCCGCAGGCTCTCCAGGGTCCAGTCAGGCAGCTGGATGTGGGCAGAGGGACCAAGACAGACTATCCTGGGGAAGACAGAGAAGCTAAACCAGAAATCCCATTAACTACGCCCAACGCCCTCGCGAGAGCAGGCTCAGAGGGGCTGTCAACTCTGTCCTCTCCCCGACCCAAAGGTGCTAATTCCCTTTGAGCCTCTTGGAGACACTCCCCTCCCACCTCAGATGAAAAGCAGGGGTTGACCCAGCTCAAATAATCTCGTGCGTGCAGTACAAGAACTCTTCACAAGGTGGCGCTCCAGTTTGTCTTTATTTTGGTCTCAGACTAATAAAGACTTCGTATATCAGCATCTTCGAGGCTCGCCAGCACAGTTGAGGTCGCTGATGTCCCTCGTCAGCCCCTCTCCGTCACTCCTGATATTTACAAAAGTTTTTCTGCCAGGGTATCAGAATCTTTGAGGGGTGGGGGGAAAACAGGTGGGACTGGGGGTTGGGCTTAAGCCCTGTGTCCCCCTAGCCATCTTCCGGGCTTCCCGGGGAGGGGGTGGGGGCGGGCGGGTGGAATTGGGGGAGGTGAGGTCAGCGTGGCTCTGAGGCACCGGGGCTTCCCTTCCAGGTGCAGGTGAGTCCGGGAAGAGCACCATTGTCAAGCAGATGAAGTGAGTACCCCTGCCCGTCCCAGGACCCTGGGGATGGGTGCGTGAATGGGGCCTGTCCTTCCCCAGCCGCCCATGAGTCGCTGACCCGGTTCACCTCGGCCGCAGGATTATCCACCAGGATGGGTACTCGCTGGAAGAGTGCCTCGAGTTCATTGCCATCATCTACGGCAACACGCTGCAGTCCATCCTGGCCATCGTGCGCGCCATGACTACGCTCAACATCCAATACGGAGACTCTGCGCGCCAGGTGTGCCAGGAGGCGGGCTGAGCAGGGCCTCTGGGTACTCGAGGCCCAGGGCTGGGCCCACGGTCACACCAACCACTCCCGCCCTGACCCCAGGACGATGCCCGGAAGCTGATGCACATGGCAGACACCATCGAAGAGGGCACGATGCCCAAAGAGATGTCGGACATCATCCAGCGACTGTGGAAGGACTCGGGTATTCAGGCCTGTTTCGATCGCGCCTCGGAGTACCAGCTCAACGACTCCGCTGGCTAGTGAGCGCACAGGCAGGGCACGGGGGTGCGGGCAGGGTCCTGTCACACCCCCTCCACCCAACCCCACCCACACCCCGGGGTCTCCCGCAGCTACCTCTCCGACCTGGAGCGCCTGGTAACCCCGGGCTATGTGCCCACTGAGCAGGACGTGCTGCGCTCGCGTGTCAAGACCACGGGCATCATTGAGACGCAGTTCTCCTTCAAGGACCTCAACTTCCGGTACAACCACCCTCGCTCTCACTCCCGGGGCCTGCCCACGAGTTTACCGCCCCGAGGCCCCGTCCCTACTAGAGACCCTGCCCCTTCTGAGACACCCTGCCCACGGAAAGGCCCGGCCCTTCAGATGCCAATCCCCTCTGAGCACCCCCCAGCCGGCATTAGGAGGCGAGGGGATGCCTGTGGGCACGTCCAGAGGCCTGGATGCGTGGGTTCAGGCGCCAATGGCCTGGCAGGATGTTCGATGTTGGTGGACAGCGCTCGGAGCGCAAGAAGTGGATCCACTGCTTCGAGGGTGTGACCTGCATCATCTTCATCGCGGCACTGAGCGCCTACGACATGGTGCTAGTGGAGGATGATGAAGTGGTGAGTGCCAAGCAGGGCCCGTGTGTTGAGGGGGGAGGCGGGAGACAGTGTTGCGGAAGCCGGAGCGTCTGCGAGGGGATATTCGTTCCAGAGCTGTCTGAAGCAGGAGAGGAGGCAGCCAGCAGCCCCACTGAGGGGGACCCTGGAAGACTTGGGGCTGTCAGAGAGGGGAGGCCCCGGCTGCCCCAGAGCCCAGAGAGGAGGGGTCGGCTCGTCGGCCGAGGCCGCGCGGGGGGCAGCTGCCCATCTCTCCCCGTGGTGCCTGACAGCCTCTGCCCTCCTCAGAACCGCATGCACGAGAGCCTGCACCTGTTCAACAGCATCTGCAACCACCGCTACTTCGCCACCACGTCCATCGTGCTCTTCCTCAACAAGAAGGACGTTTTCTCGGAGAAGATAAAAAAGGCGCACCTCAGCATCTGCTTCCCGGACTACAACGGTGAGACCGCCCCCCCCGGCCCGGCCGCCAGGCGGCGCCCCAACCCCACGCTCGACCTCGGCCTGCGCTCCCCGCGCGGCGCTGCGGGAAGGATCCGCAGGGAGTGATAGCCCCCTCCCCCGCCAGGGCCCAACACCTACGAGGACGCGGGCAACTACATCAAGGTGCAGTTCCTCGAGCTCAACATGCGACGCGACGTGAAGGAGATCTATTCCCATATGACGTGCGCCACCGACACGCAGAACGTCAAGTTTGTCTTCGACGCTGTCACCGACATCATCATCAAGGAGAACCTGAAAGATTGCGGCCTCTTCTGAGGTGGGCCCCTCGCGGGCCCGGATGCTCCCTGTCGTGCCCCTTTGTCTCAGTACCCCAAGCCCGGTCCTCAGCTCCCCACCCCACATCACTACAGCAGACCTCGCCCCAGCTCTCCAGACTCACAGCACTGCCTGGACTCTACTGCTTCTAGGCCCCACCCTGGTTCCTCAGGTTCCACCCCACTGCCACAGGTCCCTCCCCTGGGTCACAAGTCCCACCTACTTAATGTCTCTTGACCCCGCCCAGATCCCCAGGTGTCACTGCTTCCAAACCCACCTCCACATGTCTCTCAGCCTAAGCCAAATTATTTTGGGGCTCAAGGATGTTGACATGGTTCCTTTTCTCTTCACAGGTGCCTGAACTCATTTGTGTCCCTGAGACCTTTTAGCCCTAGCCGCCTTGTAGCCCCAGCCCACAGGACCCTATCAGCTTCCCAGGACTCCTGGGCCCCAGCCTGTGGCCCCACCAGCCACAGACCCAAAGCCCGGAGCCTCCCCTATGGCTCCCAGGTCTCCTAGAGTCCACTGCCCCCAACCCCAGCGCTGCCCTTCGTGGCCTGGCTGCACTAGCCTCCAGGACCCACCACAGCCAGCCCCAGCTAGGAACAGGCAAGACTTGGGGTGCCAGAGCTCACAGTGACTCAGCAGTGCAGGACCGACCAGTCTCCTACAGCTCTCGCCCGTGACTCACCTGGTGGGTCTGGGCTCAGCAAATAGCCCTCCCTCCCAGAGTTTCATGAAGGGCAGTGGGGCAGGCAGAGATCCCTCCTCCACGCAGTCCTGTTGCCTACCATCAGCCCATACCAGCCTTACCACCTCCATGTGACAAGTCTGACACCTGTCTACCCAGTGGCCAGTGACTGTCCTTCTCAGCAACTTCAGGGGTCCAAAGTCCAAGCCAGCTCTGGCCTGTGCAGCTCCTACATAGATGAATTAATGAGTAGGGGTAGGCCTGGGAGCCCCTAGGTGCTAGGGAGAGACTCAAGCTGGACTCTTCCCCACATTCCAGGTTTAGAGTAACCCCCTAGCCCCTTCCCCCACAAGCTCTTCCCCCTCTGTCCGTCCTTGGACACCAGATCCATGTTCTACCTTACCCAGCCACCCACAGTACTCCAGGCCCTCAGGTCAAGGGCATGGTCTGTTGAGGGAGGGTACTGTTGACACCAGCTATGGCCAATAGTCGAGCTGTCCTGAGGGGTGGCTGGGGGCAGAGTTCAGCTCCCATCGATCAGCCCCAGGCAGAGGATTTGGGACAGGATGGATGCCTAGGTTGTGCCCAGAGGGGTCTACCGCAGGTGAGGTCATAAGCAAACCTAGGTGACCCTCTTGTCCCTGCCAGCAGCTTCTTTCACCCTTTCCACTCAGGGCCCATTACCTGGCAGGAAAAACTGAGGGCCATGCCTGAACCATCAGGGACAAAGGCCCATGCCCCACATCCCTGCTCCCTGCTTCCTCATCAGGCACTGAGTCCTTTCGGATGCCGGTGGGCTGGAGTCTGTGCTGCAGGTGAGGACAAAGAGCTTCATCTAGCAAGGCCAGGCACCATTTGCCCTCCACTTAGCTGGATGCACGGACTCTGTAATAAACCTTTACATCAGGGCCCAGCTGTCCTTTCTTGGGGAGAGGGGAGAGCATTAATTATCGCGAGTCGCGGGCATTTAAATATTCAGTGCCCAGTGCTGGGCTGGACATGAGTGGGAAGATAGTCCCTTCCAGGGAGAAGCACCTGGCCTGACATGGCAGGGGGCACTCTTGGGGCCATGGGACCAACTTGTGTCTCTTGAGGAGGAATGAGGGGGAAAGGAGCCATGGGAGATGTTCACAGGGACAGTCTTGGATCAAGAGGGAGTTTTGAGGTGGAAGTTCAGTCTGGTGGGGACAGTAGAATGTGTAATGCCCAGGAACACGGGCCACAGTTCAGCGGAGAAGGAGCAGGGAAGGGGGACATGGGGTGGGGAGACAATGGGCAGGTGCCAAATGCCAGCCTGAGGGCCTGGGCTTCCTCCAGAAGACAATGGGTCTTGGAAGCCCTTGAAGCTAGGACATAACTGCAGGGCTGGGATCAGGGTGAGGCAAATGAGGACCTCACTTCTGGTACAAAATTTAAGGTTGTGCCAAAAAATTCAGTAATCAAGATAAATAATATGTTAATGCAATACTCCTAAAAATCAAAATTATTGCAAAGGAAATCCATGAGGAACAAAATATCAAAATTTTAAATAAAGACAAGATCAAAGAGAGCCCTGTCAAGCCATCTTGGAGCCTGAAGCAAGAGGAAAAATGTCCACTCCTAGACTTGTTTTTATGTATTTTCAATGGTTAATGTTTTTACAGAACATTAAAGTAGTTGAAAAAACATTGAAAAATTGAAAGTAGGTACATTAAAACTCACAATATCATTTTAAGCTTAAATATTTTATTTATACCTAAAACAGAATTTATAATTTTATTTTCCTGGCTTTAATGAAAATAAATCATCAATAATATTTTCCAAATCTGCTTATGGAAAAAATAATCATTAAAACTTTTCATAAAAACATATTTATAGGAGTACACATTTTTCCTGGGGGCCAGTGTGAGCAGGCATGGGGGAGGAGAGGAGTGGGGCTGAGGGGTCCATGAGGAAGAGACATATGTCCTCATTACCCCATGGGGCCAGGATCTGCAAGGAAGGACTCAGCGACAAGGGTCTGGATCTGTGCAGTTGACTAAGCTGGGACCACAGATGAGTATTAGACGGACTGAGTTTTCTGGACCTGTGGCCACTTGGGGGAGATGTTCAGGAGGCAGATAGATACTTGGGGCTGGGCAGAAGGCAGCATGTGGGCAGAATCCTCAATGTCCAGGTGGAGGGTGGAGCTGTAAGCCTGAGGGGGGCTAGAGAGGGGAGAGTGAGGGTGCCAAGGCCTGAGCACAGGGCGGTGGCGAGGACACTGGATGCCTTAGGGAGCCCAGGACACATGTGGGCAGCCATGCTGGTGCTGATCCGAGGCCTGAAGGAAGGATAGGGCTTGGGCTAGTGGTTCAGGGCCCCCGCTGAGTGATCTTGGGCCTGGCTGAGCTGGGGCTGCTCTTCTTTACTAACAACCCTCTGCCTGAGCAGTTTACTGGAGCAAGGTGGGGCAGGGGAGAGTGAAAGCGGGATTTAATGAGGGAGGCAAGCCAGAAGACAGAAGGCTTTGAGGAGCTGAAGGTGGTAGGCTTGAGAGGGAGGAATCTGTCAGGGGAGGGAGGCTAATGGGGTCTTCCACATAGCCACCTTGTCTTGGAAGAAAGGTAATGAGCTCCCCAGCCTTCCTGGGCAAGGGGCAGAGAGAAGCCCAAACGCCATGCAGGGGCTGGACCCCACCCTCTAGGAAGTCCTCTCCCACACATAGTTCTGACCACAGGATCTGGGATTCAGGACCTGTATTCCTGGATCCCCTGGGCTGGGGATGCTACCTGGCTTTAAGCTGCCCTATCCATGCCAGCAAGTATGGGAGGGGGCCCTGAGTCTCCAAGCCAGAAGTCTTCTCAGCTCCACTCACCATACCAGTGTAATTGCAGCCTAAGGAGCAGGATCAATGGGTACCCAATGCTTAATTCACAGTCCAGGGCAGAGGATCAGAGAGAGCTAATCCAGAGTAGGCACAGTGGCCACACCCTAGTCTTGTGGGTAGAGGGCATTTACTGTGAGCACCTCCAGCCACCACCATCCCTGCCTGACCTGCAACCTCAAGGTGTCCCTAAGGGCCCTCACAGCCTTCAGCTCTGGTTCTGGTGGGACTAACGTGGCCCAGCCACCGACCAGAGATTAGACAAGCCTGGTGGATGGTTAATGTCGCTGACGTCAGGGCCTGGTTGGGTGGCCAGTGGGGGCTGGGGCCCTCCCCACAGGCAGCAGCACAGCCCACGTGACCTGGACTCATTAAGCTGCTTCAGTGGCCAAAGAAGCTGGGGGCCAGATCTCAGCGGATAGAGGGAAGGCAGGCGAGGACTGTGGGGTAGGCCTCAGCCAAGAGGTCACCAGCTCTGGGGACCCAGGCCAGGGGAGGGCTAGACTGGAGGGTTTGCCTATGGATCTTCTCTATACTTCCATACCCTGTATTGTGTCAACTAAACCCTACCCAAAGGGTTATTGTGCCAACTAAGCCCCAACCCAGTATTGTACCCAAAGAGGAACCTCCCAGACACCAAACTGGGCAGAGCATAGTTAGGAGCTGTGGGTGTGGGTCCTAACCCTGGGGTGTGGAGGTGAGAACCACCCTCTCCTATGAAGCCTTGAAACCCCCAACAAGACTGCAGGCCAAGTGTCCTGCCCCTGAACACAGCCCTCCACCTATTGGTGCTAATCCCACACACGTACTTAAGTTTCCCTGTGGCCAAGCTGCTTCTTCCATCCAGAATGCCCTTTCTCTTCCCCAACTTGGCACATGCCTTTCTTCCCCTTGGCAGAGCCAAGCCCACAGGTCACTTCTCCATCAGGCTTTTCCTGATTCACACCCTCCAACCTGGCAGGAGCTTTCCTGTCTAGACAGCCCATAAAGAGCACTTTAGACACCAAGGCTGGAGCTGTGTGGCAGGATGGCAAGAGCAGCCACAGGAAGTAAAAGAAGAGCTCGTTCTGCCTGGTGGCTTAGGCAGGGTTCTCAGAGGTGATCCTCCATTTGGCTGTTGAAGGACAAGTAAGAGTTTGCCAAGGAGGTGGGACAGGGTGGAGAACCAGGAGGGCAGAGACACAGGGAGGTGAAGGCTGGCACGTTCTGCGAACAGCAGGAACTTGTGGCCAGTCGGACAGTGAGGGAGGTGGAGAGGCCAACCGGAAAGAAGAGCAGGTAGGGAGAATATCAGGGAAGCCAGCTGGGTGTGAGGCAGGTGCCTGCAGGGTGTCCAAGGAGTCAGGGATACAGATGCTGGGCTCTGGGGAGGACCAGATTGGAGGTGAACATGGGGCACAGTTAGAGAGAGTCTTGGGGCACTGTGTGGCTGGTGTACCAGGGGAAATGAGAGGAGGCTGCCTTACTGGAGGCTGAGAGGATGACTGAAGAGGGAAGAGGGGAGCAAAGGGCTGCCAGGACCCTAGAAGGAGCATCTGAGTGACCCTGGGACCTTCAGGTCTGCCTCACATGTTCGGCAGTCTCTTGGGCCTGTGTCTCAGTTTCCCGAGATGGGGGAGTAGATGTGGGGGCTGGGCTGAAGGCTGAGATAAAGCTCCCCTCACCCTCCACTCCAGGTGGCTGCTGCCAATACTGTGGCAGCATGGATGGACATGCCCTCCAGCCTCGGGGAGAAGGCACCCAGCAGCTCTCAGAACCCCATTCGGCTGCCAGCTGTCCAGCCACCACAGGCTGGGCTGGGAGATTCGGCAGGTGGCGGGAAAGGCCTCAGAGCTGTGTTTGCCCTGGCGGGGGTCCAAGCCTAGCATCAACAAACAGGCAGCCCCTCCTCCAGCCTGGCCACAATTGGCCTGGCCCAGGGACCCCACATCACGCTGCCTCCTGGCCTCCCACAGCAGCCTAGCCCAGCCCACTCCTGCTCCCTCCCGTTTGGATTGAGGACCCCAAAACCCACATGCTGGGTGACCTTGAAGCCAGGTCTGGCCCCTCAGGAACTGCCAATGGGAGCACCCAGCCCTTTGCAAATGGCTTCTGTGAACATCCAGGATGTCTGCAGGTGGGAAGTAGGGGGCAGACTGAGACCCTGGTCAGTACCTCTCCTACCTGACTCTGTCGCATGGGGAGTCCTCAAGCCCCTTTGAAGGCTGAGAGTCTTAGGTAAGCTCTGACTTGGGGGGGGACACCAGTCCCAGATCAGGAGGGAAAGTCCGTCCCTTGCTATTTTTCAGCCATCAGCAGGACGGGAGCTCGGGTGGTTTGAGGTTTTCAGGGATTGCCACCATCCTAATGCCCTTCTCTTTAGTCCCCGTCCTCTGGCACTCCCAGCACTCCCAGCCAAGCCGAGTCCCCTGCCCTTGGCTCATAGCTTGGGGCACTTCCTGTGACACACAGGGAAACTGAGGTACGCTAGGGCTTGGCTGTGGTGGTGCTGTGAGTCAGTAGGAAGAGAATCCAAGAGTCCTGACTCCCAGCTCAAATAGGGGAGGGGTCAGGCCTGTCCTCCTAGGGCATTCCCCTCAGCACCGGGGAGGGGGCAGACATGACACAGAGACATCCAGCTTGCAGGAACAGCAGAGGCCATGGGATTAATCGGATCAGAGGCAATGGCTGAGAAGCAAGGGACACAGCTGTTCTGGGAACTCTCCCCACCCCAGCTCACCCCCAAGGTCAAGGCTTCCCCCAGCAGGGATGCCAGCTGGGCCTGGGGGCCCTTAACATCCACCACCCACCTCTGAGCACCAAGGCCTCGGGTGGGAAGCAGGCAGGGGTAAGAATGGGGACACTCTAAAACCTCTTCTCCCAGGGCAGCAAGTCCTAGACCTCACTCCCCAAGGGCAGACACAACTGTCTCCTACTCCTTAGAAATAAAGAAACGAGGGGGCATAGCCAGGGAGATCCCAGGCAAGGCTCAGCACTAGCCAAGCCTGGCCCTCCTCCTGTCCTCACTGTCCCTACCCCTGTCTGTTCCAGCTTCAATCTCTTCTGAATATCTGGAGTGAAGACAGAGGAATGGATGCAGAGAACCCCCTCCTCACCCCGACCCCACCTCTGCATGGAAAGTGTGAGGCAGGCAGAAAAGACATTTTGTTGCCTGAGTGATGTCTGAAAGTCCCCCATGGAAATCACCCTTCCCTCAGGTAAGCATTGCCCGGTTCGGCTCCTCTCGCTGAAGAGCCCCTCCTGTCCCCCCTCGGGAGCACAGAGCCTTTCAGGGATTAAGCAGGCACTCAGAGACCTGGAGAGAATCTGTTTTGGACTGAATAATTCCCCCCACTAGAATCAACTGAGCCCCTCCCAGAGCAGCTGATCTCCTACCTAGGGGCTCCTTGGCGCTCAGGTTGCCCCTTTACTCCAGACCTGCCCAGCCCCCTGCTCTCCCCAGACCAGCCCCTCCTCCCGCGGGCCGCTAGGGATTGGCGGGCGGGGGGCGGGCCCGGGGCGGGGCCGGGGCCCTTCATTCCCCTCCGCTGCGCTCCGCCGGGAGCAGAGCGGACTGCACTGGCCTGAGCGGAGCACCGCGCGTCCCCGCCCGCGAGGCCAGGTACCACTGGGGGCGCCAACCTCCAGCCCAGGGGCACCGGGTGGGCCCAGTCCTACTGTCCACCCTCTCGTCGGTAGCTGGGCTCTGAGCAGCTGCCCTCGCCCGCTCCGCCCCGGGCAGGCGCCCCAGGCTCTGGCAAGTCAGAGCCCCGCGCGCTCGGGGAGCAGATCTGGGGACCTGCGGGTCAAGACTCAGCTTCGAGCTTGAGCTGGTGTCCTGGGAGAGGCGCCTGGTCGTCTCGGGGCCTCTAGGCAGGGCCAGGCGGGACAGCCGGAGGTCGGCGGCACCCGGGGCTGGGGCCGCAAGACGCCTTGTTGGAGACTTGGGCGGTACGCGATGGGCCTCACGAGGCAGGGCCCGCGGGGACCGGCTGGAGAGGGTCCCGGAGGGGGGCATAAGAGGGGCCGGGAGCAGGCCTGGAACGCTGCCCCGACGGGCGCCTGACAGGCAAATCGGCCAGGCTGGCACGCCGGGAGTCTGAGTATATTTATCCCGGCTGCGTTGGGCAGGGGCTTGAGGGCAAATGGGGCCAGGCTGCCTGAGGGGCTGCAGGGCACATGTTGGTCCCCGAGCCCGTGCCATCTGCAGCTGGGCCAGCAGGCACGGCGGGCACAGGGCGCGTGTGGCTCCTTGGCCTGAAGGCGGGGCTCCGTGGGCGCTCCTCTCCGCCCCGCGCGGGGCGGGCGTGTGAGAGCCAGCACAGTGCGCCGGGCGGGCGGAGGGAAGGGAGTTCGACTTGGTTTGCAGGAGCCCGCCCCCGCCCGATTGGCCCCTTCGATTGGCCACAGCGAATGCGTGCGTTTGTTTACACCCGGGGAGGAGGAGGCCAGGGGCGGGGCCTGTGAGAAGCCCCCCCCTCCCCCCCCCCGCCACCCCTACCCCCCACTCAGTGATCTGAGCCCTTGCAGTTGTGGGGCACATCGACCCAGGCCCATCCTTCCTTCAGCGCCAGTCCTGCCTTTCCTTCCAAGACTGCCTTTGGGCCACTGTGCTGTCCCTGGAAGAGGCCCTTGGACCTTCCACCCCTTCTTCCGCACTCAGTCTGGCATGGGGGCTCACTTCCTTCTGGAAAGGAAGCAAATCCCTCAGAGGTTCTCACTCTGGAGCATACAAAGCTGGAGCGATCTGGGGACAGTTTCATTCTGAGAGGGGAGGTTCTGCACAACCATGGAAGGCTTCCTGCGAGAAGCACCAAAAGTGGGAGGAATCCCAGGTAAATGGAGGCCAGACTTGGCACATCTCTAAGAGGGCTGGAATGACTGGAATCAGGAATGAGAATTTCTGACTCCTGGGGGTTGGGGGTAGGGGGCTGTATCTCTGGGGAGGGTTAGGGGTACACATCTCAGAACTTGGTTCTGCCTGGGTCCATAGAGCCCCCTGTGCTCACTGGCTTCACAAGCCACCCTTTGTTCAGTACTGGTTCTTTTGGGCCATGTCACAAAAACCCCCCAGTCCAGGCTCCAGGTGACCAGACCATGAGAGTTGGTTGCTCCTGTCCTGATGCCTGCTGTCCTAGCAAGTAGCCTTGGAGCCCTGGACAAATGGAGAAACTGAGGCACAACAGGACAGGCTGGGTGGTTCATGGACTCTGGGTGGGGTCAGGAAAGGTTTTTGAGCTGAACAGAGTGCACCTAGAAAGTCTGGGCTGGGTGTGGGGACAGGCACTCAATTTGAGGGGAAAACGTGTTTTGAGGGAGTGACTGGCTATGAAGGAGGTACAGTTTTGGCATCTGTGTGCACAGAGAGCTGGGGTGGGATGTGCAGTAGGATAGTGGCCCTGCAGAGGATATTCTAGTGTAGACACAGCAAGAGGCCAAGCGCCACTTGGAGCAGTTGAGATGAGCTGGGGGCTTGCTAAGAGCCTTGAACCCATTCCATTCATTTATCATTTACAGAGTACTCACTGTATACCCTGTGCACACAGTCTGGTGGGTAAAGGACTGGCCTTTGACTCTGGATAAGAAGACAGATGCAGGGGTGCACTCTAGAGGACCAGGCAGGGCTTCTGGGGGCCAAAGGGAAGAACCAGCTTCTGGGGCAGGACAGGCTTTCCGGCCATCAGCCAGGGGTGGCTTGGTTTTGAATTTCCGCTCTGCGGGCCACGTCCTGTACACAGCCTCTCAGCCGGCACGTCTGCACACGTGTGTAGCCACTGAGGATGGAGGTCACTCCAACATATCCATCTCCATGTATCTTTTCCATTCTGTGAGTAGACGAGCCATGGGTGCTAGAGCTTTCCAGGTGGGCCTGGCCTTGCGTCCCTTGTGGGCTCAGTCCCACCTCTGGAAGTCCCTGCACCTGGCTAATGGGGGCATAACATGCCCTTGTGGGAACCTGGAAATGCTGTGGCAGCCTTCTTGTGGTGTCCTGCAGAGTTCTGCCTTGTGATCCCTGAAGTGCCTACTGGGCCTGCTGCTCCCTCACCTGGGCCTCTGGCTCCCTCTCCCCTTCTTGCTCCTTCCGGGGCTCTCTCTGTCTCTCGCTGGCTGTGTCTTGTGGTCTCTTGCTGTCTTGCTGCCTCTGTCTCTTTCTCCATCTGGCTATTCTGACTGGTTGGCCATCTGTCTGTCTCTTACCTCTTTGGTTGTCTCTCTTTCTCTGTCTTCCTGTCTGAATATCTATTCTCCTCTCTCTCTCTGTATCTCTCTCTGTTTGTGTCCCTCTATATCCACCTGCATTTCTCTATCTCCCTGTGCCTCTGTCCATCTCTGTCTGAATCAGTACACATGCATCGTGTGTGTACATTTTCTCTCCCTGTCTCTCTCTTCCCTCCCTCTGCCTCTCTCTGTTTCTTCCTAACATTGAATGGTGCCTCTCCTCCAGGCTGACCTTGCCTTTAGCCCCACACTGGGGTCTCTAATGAGTCCTGAGCTGCCCCCGGCCCCTGCTCCAGCTTTCTTTGGGGCCAGAAGTCCGGCTGTCCAAATATTTGGCCGCCTCCAGGGGATTCCGGGTCAGCAGGGAGGAGGATGGGCTGGCTGGCCCGGGGTCTCCCCTGCCCCTGGGGGGCCACAGGCACGTGATGTCCTGTCCTTTGCCTCAGCTGGGCCTTGGGCTGCACGTCCCTCTCAGCAGGCTGGCAGTGGGGGAGGTGGCTGTTGCTGGCTTTGGCCCAATCTTGAGCCAAGAGGTTCCAGCTGCAGCCTCCACTGGGGGCAGCCTAAGCAAGGAGGGTCTAGGGCTTGGCAGGAGGGTAGGTCTAGGTATCTGGGGTTAGGCCCAACTCTAAACATCTGTTGGATATCCAGAAAATGTACCCTGTCACAGGAAAGTCCACCTTCCGGCCCCAGCTGGGCCCCTCAGATCCTCCTAGACATTTCCGGATGCCCAGAACACAGAAGCACAGACCTCAGTCACCAGGGCCAGGAAGCTAGGGGATATGGGATTGGTGTGGCCAATATGTCAATGTTCTGGGCCATTTGCCTTCCCCTGGATGTGCCCCCTCCTGCAATGCCACTCCCTCAGTACCAGCAGGATGTTGGCCACACAGTAGCCACTTACCCAGTGTTGTTGATGATGAGGGAGTAGTGAATGGGGAACTTGATCTACTGGGGTCAAAATCTGGAGTTGTGGGTGTGGGGAAGAGACAAAGGGTGTGTGTTAGTACCCTCCCCTCTTATGAATACCCTCTCACGTGCCCTATCCCTAGAACCCTGACCACAGCAATCAGCTCCCCACCAATCCCTATGGCTGTGCCTTGAGAACATACAATTCAGATGTGTCCATTGAATTCAGTTTGACTGTTGACCAGTAGCTTGTCCTAGGAGGGTGTTTTCCTTCTGAAGCCATGAGAAGCAGGTGAGCAGAGGGGTGCCACACTGGGAAGGGCACTTTTTTTTTGTGAGGAAGATTAGCCCTGAGCTAACATTTGCCACCAATCCTCCTCTTTTTGCTGAGGAAGACTGGCCCTGAGCCAACATCCGTGTCCATCTCCCTCTACTTTATACGTGGGACGCCTACCACAGCATGGCTTGCCAAGGGGTGACATGTCTACACCCGGGATCCGAACCGGCAAACCCCAGGCCGCTGAAGTGGAATGTGCAAACTTAACCGCTGCACCACCAGGCTGGCCCCACAGGAGGGACACTTTGTCTCAGCGAAGGAGGGGAGTGGTAAGGATGGGTGAGCTGGAACTAGGGGCAACCCTCATCCCTGAGGCCCTAGGGATAACCACAGTGGACACTCAAGTCAGGCCAGCTGCCTCTCCCCTGAGATGTGGGCTGAGGTTAGGGCTGTCCAGGCACAGGAAGCCTGGGGGCCATGGGAGCAAGCTCTGGGGTCTGTGCCTCCATCCGCACATATGGCCATGGGACTGAGGAAAGGACAGCATAGAAGCCTCCCTGTAGCCAGCCTGCTACTGCAGACCCACTTATGTCCTGAGCACTGGGGAGGAAATCAGGGCTCAGAGCCCTAGTGGCTCCCAGGACCTCGATCCTGGGACAGAGGTGTACTTCCCACAGCAGCTGACACAAGCAGTGGCCCCCAAGGTGGCCTAGATTCCTGGGCCTTGAAATCTTTAATTAGCCAAACTCAACACCTGCCGAGGTGTGCCTGACAAATTCTCACCCTATGATTCCTGCGTGGGTGGGCGTTACCTGCAGCACTATCCCTGTGGCTCCTGGCCCCTCCTGGCCCTTATCTCCCAGCAAAGCAAACAGGCCCCAGGGCAGTGGCCTGGGCCATTGATTTACTGCCCAAGCCCATGCTGCACCCATGAAAGATGCCATTCTGATGACTTGCTCAAGGTCACAGTGATCGCCCCATCCCAGAGCCTGACCCCTCTCTGGGAGCCTACAAACTGCTCTGGAGGCAAAGGCCATGAGGATTCTCCTCACTGTGTCCCCAGCTTTGGCCAAACCTCACGGAATCCCTGGAGGACAGGAAGACACTGAGGTCATGAGCAGGGAACACTCTGCCCATGGTCACACAGTGAGGCAGGCCTCACATTCAGTTGCAGAAGGAGCCATAAGATGGGGGATGTGTTTGGGGATTTTGTCCCTTCCAGATTGGAAGCCACTTGAGGAAGGATATTCCATGTCCTCTGTGGGATCTCAGGCTGGCCTGAGACCCAGGAGTGACTGGTCGTAATAGGCCCTGAAGGTCTAGGCCTTGGTTCTGCTGGGGGAATGGAACCAAAGGCACCATGGCCATGACCATGCCATGGGCTCTGGTCTCTCTGGAGGCAATGCCTGGCTGCTAGGGAAGGATATTAAGGCAGAAAGGGTACTTTGTCCGGGCTGCCAACTCAGCACTCTGTGGACCTGTCCCAGCCTGCCCAGGGCGGGAGGCCCAGCAAGGGCAACCCCAGCTGAGAGGCAGGGGGCACTCTGGAGTGATTCTGGAGACCAGGTGCTGGCATCTCAACAGCAAGCTGGGATCTTTGGAGGGGTGCTGATGGTGAGGCTCAGGCCTTGAAGATAGGCTGAACTTGGGGACTCTGGTCCAGGGGAAGAGATGTTCACATTGTCATGGTCCTGTATGGACAGGGCTGGAGGAGAGAAGGGTGCAGAAGTGCTGCATCAGAGAAAGGAGAGGCAGATTGAGGGGTTCCAAGGGTGCTAGGTGCCAACCCAGGCCTGAGGTGCCTGGGATCTGAACTATGGCCTAGGGTTGCCTGGGATAATGGTGGGGTGATCCTCTGGTCAGTTCTGTATGGCTGCTGCCTCCCCGGCAGTGGGGCCTGAGGTCTGAAACTTGTGGCCCCAGCCTAGCCTCCCCTACCCACCCATAGCCCTGAGTGCTAAGTTTGAGACCCCTGGTGCTCCAGGTTCAAGAGCAGACCTGGGACCATCAGGATCTGAAGGGGGTATGAGGGATTCAGGGCAGGATTCAGGGTTCCCAAGTGGAAGGGGTGCCACAGTGTCAAGACCAGGCTCTGGCTGACCTGCCTGGCAGTTCTGCCCCCTCTCTGTTTTGGGGGGTTTTTTTGAGGAAGATTAGCCCTGAGCTAACTACTGCCAGTCCTCCTCTTTTTGCTGAGGAAGCCTGGCCCTGAGCTAACATCGTGCCCATCTTCCTCTACTTTATATGTGGGACGCCTACCACTGCATGGTGTGCCAAGCGGTGCCATGTCCACACCTGGGATCCAAACCGGTGAACCCCGGGCCGCCGAGCAGCGGAACATGTGAACTTAACCGCTGCGCCACCGGGCCGGCCCCACTGCCCCCTCTCTGGTCTCCACTCTGGTCTCAGCTCTCCTGCTGGCCTGTCTGGCCTTCAGGATGTCCTTATAGATCCTGAGGGCACTGTGCCCAGGTACCTTCTGGGCTTGGGGTAGATGGCTCCCAGCCCCAGTGATGGGAGAGGGACCAGTGAGTTATCTGGGCAGTGGGCAGGGTTGGGGGGCTCTGAGTTCCTGGCCTGGGGCTCCAGGAAATGAGGAATCTGCTCAAACAGTCCACTCGTGGTGGGTGGGCACCTAAGGAGGGAGGATTCCCTAGCAGCGGAGGAGAGGCTTGAAGGAGAACATGGCCCTGAGACCAGGGCTGTGTGGAAGGTGAGGCTTGTGTGGCCCAGAGAACTGGGCCCTGGGGCACCCATTTCCTGGAAGGCCCCCTGAGGGCCCTTTGCAGCCAGGTGGGCAGGGCCCAGGTGTCCAGCTACCCAGCACCGCCTCAGGCCTCCTGGCTCCAAGAGCGGGGGGGGTGTGGGGGAGAGCTGGGGGGGTAGCCTCTGCGCCTGCCGTTCCCAGCGCCAGCTCTCAGCCCACAGAGGGTCCTTTGTTCTGACTGCCAGCAGTGCCCGCCGGGCGGCTGGGAACAGGGCCCACAGTCCTAACCCTCTCCTGAGGCCTCCAGCCGTTGGGCAGTGCCATTCTAGGTTGACTAGGAGGCCCCTGGCACACAGGACTGGCACAGGAAAACGTCTCCCAGTATTAATGTTGAGGAGGGGGAGTCAGTCCAGGGCCCACCCCCAGAGTAGGGTCTGGAGGCCTGGACTCAGCATCTCGGGGTCCTGGCACCACGGGGCTCTGAACTCAGGTCATCCAGCTGACCCTCACTTCACAGATGGGTAAAGTGAGACCCCAAGGGCTTGCCTGGACTGGTGTGTGTGTAGGGGGGTGGTTATATACTGGCTGAGATGGCCCCTCAGGATGTCCTGGAGGACCCAGTGTCCAAGCTCTACTCTCCCAAAGGCAGGGCCCAGAGAGGGAGCAAACAGAGCTGCATGTGCACGTATGTCCTTAGTGACCCTCTGGGAGGTGTGCTACGGCAGCAGACTTATGGGAGGCTGGGCCATGGGCCCAAGGAGCTGGGTAATCAGAGGACCGTCTGTTCTTCAGATTTCTGACTGTATTGGTGTGAGAGCCAGTGCTCCTCGTGGTGGTGCCCGAGCCATGGAGGCACCTGTGCAGACAGAGATGGTGGAGCTGGTGCCCAACGGCAAACACTCGGAGGGGCTACTCCCAGTTGTCACCCCTACGGCAGGCAACCAGAGGTGAGCAGAGGAGAGACCCAGCTATGGCTCAGGGCAGGGTGTAGGGCAAGGGGCTGGAGCTGAGTTGCCTGCCCTGGACTGTGCCTGCAGGGTTGAAAGCCCCAGACGGAGCTGTGTTGAGGGTGAGGGCTTCCTACAGAAAAGCCCCAGCAAGGAGCCGCACTTCACTGACGTGAGCTGGGGCAGCAGGGGGCGCTCAAGGGCATCATTGGGAGCTTGGGTGCAGTAATGAGGCGCTCTGGGGCAGCGATGGGAGGCTGAGGGACGGTGATGGCAAACACTGAGATGCCCTCCATGCCTTGCTGACTCCCCCCATCCCTCCTCATTTCACTCTGGTGCCTGCAGTTCGAGGGGAAGACATCATTCGGGATGTCAGTGTTCAACCTCAGCAATGCCATCATGGGCAGTGGCATCCTCGGGCTCGCCTACGCCATGGCCAATACGGGCATCATCCTTTTCCTGTGAGTGCCGTCAGCAAACCTTCTAAAGATAGGAGCCCTAAACAGGCCACCAACTATGACCTCCCAGGACCTGCCAGTTCCTGCCCAGACTACAGTGGGTGGGCACTTACACTCAACCCAAACCACGGCTAAAAAAACCAGCCATGGCCAGACAAATATACCTCACTTCCCAGTAAAGCCACTGAGATTACGACACAAGGCCAGCGTAACAGGCCTGAGTCTGTCCTTCTACCATTTTTACACGTAATGGACAAATCCCCATGCCCAGGCCTTGTGTGGACACATGTGTCCCTACCTGGGAGCTCTGCCCTGCAGCCTAAATGGAAAACATGTTTGTTCTAAGAACTCAAGGGGAGGTGCTGCTCAGAGGATTCCTTCTGGGTCATGGCCCACACTGGATCAAACTGGTGGTGGGTGTTCACCACCTCTGGAGCCTGCTGAGCTTGCTTCCACACCTGTTAGGGGTCCAGACAACTGAGTCACAGACCCCACACACCCAGGCCTCCCAAAGCTCACCACCCCTGCAAGCCAGGGAAGCCCCCAGTAGCCTCTCTTCATCCATCTTCCCCAGGTTCCTGTTGACAGCCATTGCCCTGCTCTCCAGCTACTCCATCCACCTGCTACTCAAGTCCTCAGGGATTGTGGGTGAGCCTCAAACCCAACCTGTGGCAGGGGAGGGGTGGACTGGGGAGAGCACTCTGACTGTCCTAACTTCCTGATCTGCAGGCATCCGTGCCTATGAGCAGCTGGGCTACCGTGCCTTTGGGATGCCAGGAAAGCTGGCAGCGGCCCTGGCCATCACACTGCAGAACATTGGAGGTGAGGCTGGAGGGCAGACACAGGTGGATGGTGGGCAGGTGGACAGTCTGAAGGCTGTCTGGTTTGACTGACACTAGTGCCTGCCCACCCCTCTCCCCCAGCCATGTCCAGCTACCTGTACATCATCAAGTCGGAGCTGCCCCTCGTCATACGGGCCTTCCTGAACCTTCAGGATCACACCTCGTGAGCCCCAGGGTGGGGCGGGCTGGGTGAAGGCGGGAGGCCCTAGTCTACCCCTCCACGACCACACTGGCCCTGGAAGCCCAGGCTGGGCTAATGGGAGAGACGAGACAGAGTCTACAAGTGGCTGGTGGAGCGGCTGAGAGCTGCCTCAGAGTCAACATTCAGTCACCTGGGGGAACCCCTCAGGAGGGCCACGTGGGGGCCAGGGGTGCTGAGGCTGAGGAAGCTGGGCCCTGCCTGGCCCTGGACCCAGCCTGTGAGTGGCGGGGGACCTGAAAGCCTAAGGCTTAGCTCTAAGTGCCTGCTATTCCTGACTGTGGCTTGCGTGTTAACAACCCCCCCCCCACCAAGAAATTAAGCCCCTGGTGTCCCAGTTGCCCATCAACAGTTTAGCCAGCACTGATGACATCAACCATGTTTTGTGGGTGGGACAGAGAAGACAGCCAGGCCCTGCCCTTGGCAACACAGCCCAGGCAAGAGGGGCTGTGAAGCTGAGAATAGCTCTAGGGAGGAGGGAAACAGCTAGGTTTCTGCCCCTGGACCCTGGGGGCCTTTCCCAAAGGGTTGGCCTTTGGGCTTGCCTGTGAAGGAGGGTCCCATTCCTTACACCTTTAGTTCCCCACGCCCCGTGTCCTTTAGGGGTGTGGGGCAGGATGATGCAGGATGCACAGGATGATGCAGAAGGGGTACAGGTTGTTGGCAAGTCCCTGGGACTCCCATGGAAAATGCCCCACCGCCCAGAGCCAGGTTCTTTCATCTCTCCCACCTCCCTGGGTCCCTTGGGGCCACTCCCTGGGGTGGCTGGACCCAGATCTGTGTGTCCTGAGAAAAACAACAGCAGTGACTATAATCGTAATGGTTACCAAGCAGGAGCCTTACTCCTTACCTCCCCCAGAATGAAAGTTCTGTGAGAATGCCCATTTGCAGATGGAGAAGGGAAGACTCAGAGCTGTGGAGAAGTATGGCACCACTGGTGACCCTCACTGCGGGTAGAGGCAGGCGGCTCCACCCGAGACTGGATGGGCTCTAATCTGGGCTCCTCACTCCCATCCCTGCAGGGACTGGTACGTGAATGGGAACTACCTGGTGATCCTGGTCTCTGTCATTGTCATTCTGCCCCTGGCACTGATGCGGCAGCTTGGTGAGTGTGGTGGAGCCAGGGCCTTGGAGGGGGATGTTGGAGGGATGCACAGAAGGGGACCCCCAGTCTCACAGCACCCCGCAACTTTTCAGGCTACCTGGGTTACTCCAGCGGTTTCTCTCTCAGCTGTATGGTGTTCTTCCTAATTGCAGTGAGTCACCCTCCATCCTGGTTGAGGGAGGGGGCAGGTGTCCTAAGAGAGTCCTCTGTCAGAGAAAGGGGGCAGATCTCTCTGGGAAGCCTGGGTTAGAAGGCAGCTCCTCCAGTCCTGATCTAGATGTGGCTTCATAGTGACTTCCCAGACAGCCTAACCTAGCCCCAATACCCTTATCCTCCCCCCACAGGTCATCTACAAAAAGTTTCATGTGCCCTGTCCGCTGCCCCCCAACTCCAACACCACAGGCAACGTCAGCCTCACGGAGGTCATCAAGGAGGAGGTACCACTGGAGGTGGAGACTGAGGCCGCAGCCTTCTGCACCCCAAGCTACTTCACACTCAACATACAGGTTCTGATGGGCCAGGGTGGGGGTAGGGGACCCTGTGAGAGTATGAGGGGCTGCCTTAACAAAGTTCCCATGTCTCCCCAGACGGCATACACTATCCCCATCATGGCCTTCGCCTTTGTCTGCCACCCCGAGGTGCTGCCCATCTATACAGAACTCAAAGAGTAGGTGTCCCTGGCTGGGAGAGGGAGTAGCGGGTGCCTTGAGCTTGTTTGTGGAGAATGGATGTGGTCCTGAAAGGGAGGAAGACAGTGACAAGAGCCAAGTCATTTTATCAAAGATCTCTATGGCTGCCGTGAGGGCTGACAGGGGGCAAGAAGGAGGCTTCCTCAGATGCCAGATGGTGAGAGTGTGGTGCCAGAGGGACCCTGGGGCATATGGGGGTCTCCCAGTGTGACCCAGCTTGGCACCAATCCCCTTCCCTGCTGCCCCATAGCCCCTCCAAGAGGAAGATGCAGCACATCTCCAACCTGTCCATCGCCGTCATGTATGTCATGTACTTCCTGGCTGCCCTCTTCGGCTACCTCACCTTCTACGGTATGGCTGGACCATGGGGTCAGAGGCAGAGGCCAGGCTGGGGGGCAGGGGACTGGCCGATGGCCATGGCACCCTGCATACTGTAGGCACTCAGTAGGTGTGTGATGCCTAACTGTGCCCTGCAGCTGTGGAGGTGAGTCTATTGCCACTCCCCACAGCATCAGGGTCAACCCAGGCTCAGAGTCCAACCTCCTCCCTGGGCCACCTGCTGACCACCCTCCCTGCCTGCCACAGACGGGGTGGAGTCAGAGCTGCTGCACACCTACAACAAGGTGGACCCATTTGATGTGCTGATCCTGTGTGTGCGTGTGGCTGTGCTGACGGCAGTCACGCTCACAGTGCCAATTGTTCTGTTTCCGGTGAGCTGGTAGGCAGATGGCCTGGTGGCCAGACTAAGGGTGGGTGGGACTGATAGGGTTGACAGATTGATGACTCTCACCTCCTGGCCCCCAGGTGCGCCGCGCCATCCAGCAGATGCTCTTTCAGAGCCAGGAGTTCAGTTGGCTGCGGCACACGCTCATTGCCACTAGCCTACTCATTTGTATCAACCTGCTGGTCATCTTTGCCCCCACCATCCTGGGCATCTTCGGGATCATTGGTAAGGGTCTGGCCCTGCTATGTATGGAGGCAGGGTATTGCCCCAGAGAATTTCCCTTATGCAAATCCTGGCAGATTCCTGAGCTCATGCCCTACATTTAAGTGATGACTGCTTGGCCTCTCATCTGAGATTTTATCTTTAAGGCTATTCTAATTGCTTTTGAAGACTTGGAACCACTGTCCTCCTCACTGGGGGACAGGATGGAGCCCAGGGGTCAGGGGCTTCCACAAAGGGTCTCGCTGGGTCTTGTCCCCATTTCATATACAAGAAAACTAAAGTTCAGAGTGATTAACGGAGTAGCAGGGCCATACAGTTGGTAAGTGGGGAGCCTTGATTCAGCCCAGGATCATAGGACTACAGGTTTGGTGCTCTGTCCCTTGTCCCATCCCAGCTGGGGCTCTGAGTTGGAAGATCAGAAATTCTGAGATATCTTTGGGGCGACCCAACTCAGGAGACTGACTCTCCAACCCAAGTCTGCAGGGGCTGACACACAGACCTGGGGACTGAGTATCATGGCTATCATAGACAGGACTCTTGCTTCTGTACGTCTGAAATCCAACTCAAAATGAATTAAGCAGAAAGGAATGTACTGGCTCAAATAATGGAAAAGCCTTCAGGAATAGTTATATCCAGGAGCTCAGTATCCTCAAGGCTTTGTCTCTATCTCTTGGCTTGCCTTTCCTCTTTGCTAGCTTCGTTCACTGACAGATTCTTCTGACACCAACAACACTATCTTTCACTATCTGGACAGTGAACACGGGAAGGGGCTGGTGGGCTCTCCAGAATCAGGCAGAGCTCTCAAGTGGAGTCTTGTGATGAGACACCTCCAACAAGGAATATTTGATCTCATAGAAGGGTCCACCCCCGAACCTTAGCCAATAGGTGGACATGAGCCAGCAGTGGCCATGCCTTGTACTTTGCAGGTGCCACATCTGCCCCATGCCTCATCTTCATCTTCCCTGCCATCTTCTACTTCCGCATCGTGCCCACTGAGAAGGAACCGGCAAGGTCTACCCCCAAAATCCTGGTGCGAAGGGCCTGGAGGTCAGTGGGCTGGTGTGGGACTGAGGAGGCTGCCCTGACCTCAGACCTGACCCTGACTTCTGACCCCACAGGCCCTTTGTTTCGCTGTGCTTGGCCTCTTGCTGATGACCATGAGCTTGAGCTTCATCATCATTGATTGGGTCTCGGGGACTGGCCATCATGGAGGAAGCCACTAGGATGACCCCCATCCTATTCTGTCTGCTTGTCCGAGTACCCCCACCCAGACTCTTCAGCCCCTGCTCCCACCCAGTGGCCAGTCAGGGGGGAGGAGGAAGACGTGGCTAACGCTGTGGCATTTGGCCCTGCCCCACATCTTCTCTGTGGAAGATTTTTGTTAAAAAGCCAGGACCAAGGCCCTTGGGCCACTACCCTGCTGGGCTCCCAGGCTCTAGGGGCTTCCTGAGCTGGGGGCAGGGCGAGGCTGTACCCCTGCTTCCTTCCTGTTGCCTCAGATCCTACCCAAGCCCCTTATCCCTTATACAGATGCATACACTGAGGCCTAGCAGCTGCCTCTGAGGTCACACAGACTGTAGGGGCACATAGAGCTGGGACCCAGGTCTACAGCCATCCCCCCACCCTGCTGCTGGGCCATCAATTGCACCCTAGGGCCTCACCTCCCTCAGCCCTCTTGCCTTCCCTCCTTCTGTCCTCGAGGTCCCTTTCAGGCACTTGGGCTCAGGCCCTTGGATACTCTTGTCCCCTTCTCCCGTCCCCTCCACTGGGAGCAGGCCCCTCCACCCTATACCTGGAGCCAGCAGGCTCTTCTGAGGGTGAGGCTGATGTGGGTACACCCAAGGGACCCCTGCCCTGAACTTTCAACAGTCCCGGGGAGGCTGGGACTCCCCCCACGTCAAGCCTGGCCCATTGCTCACATTTCACTGCTGGGAGAAGAGTGAGCCTGGGGCCCAGAGCGCCTCTGCCTCTAGGAGTCAAAGACCCCAGGGGCCAATCTGGGGCAGGGATGGAGAGGCTGGCAGCCCCCTTTTATAAATATTATACATAAGATCAGCTGTGTTTTATATTCTTGATCTCCATGGTCCCTGGGTTCCTGGAAAGTGGGGTGGGAGCCAGGACATGGATGGTGATGGAGGCCCCTCCTGCCTCTCCCTGGGATGAAGGTGGGGACAGGGCGAGTCCCCTAACCCACCCCGCCCCCTGCCTCCCAAACCAATGAGTGGTATGCTCAGACCGGGTTCTGGGCCCGGGCCAGGCTCAACACAGACCTGCTTTCTCACGGGGTGAGGTGGGGAGGAATTAATGAGGCCTCAGGAAATGGGACAGAGAGAGGCCTCCGGAAGGAGGCAACGTGAGATGCATCCCCAGCAGCTTCAGGGAGGGTCTGAGCAGGGGGCAGCAGAGCTCTGCGGAAGCCCTGCAGAAGGGCCCCCTGCCCTCCCCTTGCTGCCATGTCAACCCTCTGTCAATGCCTTGAGTCTGGGGACAAAAATCCAAGGATCCTGTGCCCTGTCAGGCTGATCTTTTATTAACAGTAAAACCCACTATGAATAAAGGTGGGTCTGTGAGTCGCTGTATGTGGGGGCTGAGTTTGAGTTGGGGAGTCCAAAGCTGGGCAGGGGCTACAAGGATGCAGGGCAGCCCCAGGTGCCCTGGCCTGGGTGGGACTTGGAAGCTGCCCATTGCCTGGGGCAGGCCTGCATCAGCTGGGACCCAGCAGGGTGGAGCTGCACAGGCCTTGGCACCAAAACCTCATTAGGAGAGACCCCGCACCCGGCTGGGCCGCCGGGGAAAGGGCAGCAGGAAAAATCCAGTTTGAACTGGCAAGGAGGCTGCCAGCTTGGGAAACCCCTGAAGAAAGAATTTCCTCAAGCTGGTAGCCACTAGGCCCATGACAGTGCCAGCTGGTCAGAGAGGGTCTTCCTGAGTCCAGTTCCCATCAGCTCCAGGCGCCTGACTCAAGCCTGCGGTCTCACCCAGGAGCCCTGTAGCCCCAGGAAAGAGCTGGATCCTGGCCTAGAGGGGGCTACTGCCCAGAGTGCCCTGGTATGAGGGGCTGTGCTCTGGGGATCTCTGGCTTATTCCTCATCAGAAAAGACTCTAGCCCTGCCTGGGACACTTGGCTCCTGGGGAGTGTGAGGCAATAAAGGACAGGGTGCATCCTGCAGACAGACCCTGGGGTCTTTTCCCACACTCCCTCTATCCAAAGAAAGCTGCAAGTCAGAGCAGCAGCAGGGCTGCCTGGAGTCTCTTCAGTCCCCAGGCCTGGCTTCAGGCCTCTCAGACCAGGGGGATGTGCTGAGAGCAGCTCCTACCCCCCGCCCCCTCAGCTGGGGTGGAGGAAGGATGCTGACCCCGAGAGGCCATCCCATCTCTCCCTGCCCAGCAAGGGCTCCTCCAGCCTGACCAGTGGGCAGCAGGCTCCTGGGGGAAGGGGCCAGGCGATGTGGCCACTATACTATATCCAGAAACCAAGTGACCACGAGACTGTTTGAAAATGAGTATCCCTTGTCCCTGGCTGTCAAATTCCAGCCACTCGGCCTCTATGAGGATGAGTGTGCAGGCCCTTGGTCAGCATTAACCTTTTTATATGTTTTGAAAAATTCCCAGGTTTTTTCCTTTTGTTTTTGGCTCTTTAAAAATTGCTCTGAAAAAAAATTTGCTCTGCTTGAAATATTGACAAGATAAAGCAGTCAGAAAGCTGAGCATGGTGGCACAGAGGTTAAGTTTGCACGTTCCACTTCTCAGCAGCCCGGGGTCCACCAGTTTGGATCCCGGGTGTGGACATGGCACCGCTTGGCAAAAGCCATGTTGTGTTGGGCATCTCACGTATAGAGTGGAGGAAGGTGGGCATGGATGTTAGCTCAGGGCCAGTCTTCCTCAGCAAAAAGAGGAGGATTGGCAGTAGTTAGCTCAGGGCTAATCTTCCTCAAAAAAAGAAAGAAAGAAAGAAAGAAAGAAAGTTGAGCACAGAGGTCTTCTATTTTTCTTTTTTCTGCTTATAGCAGAAAAACAAGATAATATAGACCAGGACAAGGGGACAAAGCATGGGCCTTGGTCTCCCTGCCCAGCAGCAGCCCTGCTTGCACCCACCTCACCTGTGTACACATGCATTCGTATATCGACTGAAAAGGGATTCATTCATTCAGCAAGTATTTACCAGAATTTCCTATATGCCAGGCACTCTTCCAGCACCGGTGCATACAGCAGTGAACAAAGTGAAGACCCTGCCTTCTTTGAACTTACATTCTAGGTGGGGGATTGGATTCAGACCAGAAACATGAAACATTATCAGTAAGTTATGTCATTTGTTAAAAGACGCTCAGTACTATAGGAAGTAAAAATGGCAAGGTAAGCGCAATGAAGAACAGGGAGTTGAGAGGTGGGTCAGGGTGGGCCCCACGGAGAAAGGGATGTTTGATCAGAGATTTAAAGAGGGAGGAAGCCATGTGGATGCCTGCAGGGAACACTCAGCTAAAGGGACCAGCCAGTGTAAAACCTTAAGGCAGAATATGCCTGGCATGTGAGAGGAGCAACCAGGAAGCCATTGTGGCTGACGCTGAGCGAGGCGGGAGATGGTAGAAGGGGCGAGTGGAGGCTAATGAGGGGAGCAGATGTTGCAGGGCGTTGTCAGCCACCATAAAGACTTTGGATTTTTCTCTGGGAAAGCTAAGAGTCAATGCAGGGTCTTGAACTGAGGAGGGTGCAGGATGTGATTCAGTTGCTACTGCAACTCTTAATTTTTTATTTTTTTTGAGGAAGATTAGCCCTGAGCTAACATCTGCTGCCAATCTTCCTCTTTTTGCTGAGGAAGACTGGCCCTGAGCTAACATCCGTGCCCATCTTTCTCTGCTTTATATGTGGGATACCTGCCACAGCATAGCCTGACAAATGGTGTGTAGGTCCACACCCAGGATCCGAACCAGCGAACCCCAGGCCGCTGAAGCGGAATGTGCGAACTTAACTGCTGCACCACCAGGCCGGCCCAGCAACTCTAAATTTTAAATGGATTATTCTGGGTGCTGTACTGAAACTAGACTCCAGGGTGGGGGATGGGGAGCCAAGGTTGACACTGACACGAGGGCTATTGCAGGTGTTCCTGACAGACATGTCAAGCGGCTCAGCCCAGATGGTGGCACGGTTGGGTGAGATGCTGGGCTGGTTCCGAAGGTGAGATGGTGGGGTTCTCTGATGGATTGGGTAAAAGGGGAGGGGCAGAGACAAGTCAAGAGTGACTCCAAGCCTATCTAGGGATCGAGCTGCCACTGCATCCACTGAGGGAGGCTGGGGGAGGAGCAGGCTTGGGAGGGAGATCAGTTTTGCCAAGGAAAAGTTTAAAACACTAACTGGACATCAAAGTGGAGATGCCAAGTTGGCTGCTGTATGCGTGACTCGAGTTCAACACTGGAGCTTTGGATCTAGGAGGCAACGCAGGTGGATGGTACCTAAGGCCAGGGGCTTGGATAAGATGAGAGGAGATGAGTTTAGACAGAGGAGGGCAGCAGTCAGGACTGAGCCCTGAAACAGGCCTCTGTCAGGAGGTAAGAGAGATGAGGTGGAACCAGCAAAGGAGCTGAGCAGGGGCAGCCAGAAGGTGGGAGGAAACCCAAGAGAATGCAGGCACCTGGGAGCCAGGCAAGCATTGACTGCTCGAGGAGGTGAGGGTAGAGAACAGACCACTGGGTTCAGCAACGTGTGGGTCACTGAGGACCCTGACCAGGGGTGTGTTGTGGAGGGAGAGGCGAGCCTGACTGGAGTGGGTAGAGGAGAGAGAGAGAGAACTGGAAAGGATAAGGACAGACAACTTGTGTGAAGTGAGAGGAGCAGGGCCAACAGAGACTTTTAAGGAAGACCAGGAAGACGAAGCTATTGAGGGTAAGAGATTGGAAGAAGCTAGTAGGATTTTGGGTTGGAGGAAGGTGAAGCACTTCTGGGCCAGGGCCCTGGAGGGACTGAGCTGGAAGACAGTAGATGGAGGTTGGACAGTTGGCATCAGGGAGTATGCAGGGTGGCCACTGCTCAGCCTGGCCAAGCGCTGGTAGCTAGGAACATCTTGGGTCCAAGATGCAGCCAGGGAACAGCAAGAAGCATGTGGAGGGACCCAGAGGACTCATCCAGATGTCTGCCTTGACCTCAATTTAAAGTCATCCAGCAACTGACTAACTTTCAAACAACTTGGAACAGTAATAATTGACTGGAAGTTACTTAGAAAGAAAGAGTAGCCCTGGAAAAAGTCTGAAAGAACAAAATTGCTTTCAAAACCACACAAGGCTGCAAAGCTGTCAGACTACGCACCCTGGGATTTGTACAGGATCAGACACCGGCCTAATTCCCTGAGATCTGTAGAAGGTGGCCTCTGCTGCCCCCTGGCGGTCAACGGCCGGAGTCCGGGCTGCGCGGTGACCCACCCGACACTATGCCCCGGCCAGGCGGCTGGGATGGTCAGTTATGACTGTGCAGCCGGGCCCTGAGGTTCCAAGACAGTCCAGGAAGCCTTCCTGGTTGGCGCATGAGAGGAGGGCAGGCAGGAAGGTTGGGGGCGGGGAGGGTGGGGAGAGGTCGCCAGGGAGGGGCCGGGGCCTCAGCCTGTGTAGGTGAGTGAGGAACTGCCAGTCACAGACTTGGCCGGGTCCTCAGGGAGCCAGGGCCCCCCCCCCCCACGGGCTGCCTGACTTTGGAGGGTTCCCGGAGCGGAGGAAGGGGCCGGACTCCCAGACCCACTCTTGACCAAGCATTCTGAGAGCCCCTCCAAGTATTACCCAGCTCCACTCCTTATCCTGCCCCTGTCTTTTGGGTCAAACTCAGCCTGGCACCCGGAGTCCCCACTGCGCACCGGGCCCTGGACTGGGCGCAGGCGATGGGCACGGAGCCACCCGACCCTCAGGAAGCAGGGTAATCACCCAAATCAGCGTGCGATCGCCGCTGTGAATTTGGGGAGGTGGAGGGGAGAAAGCGTCCTGGAACGGAGGGTCTGAAGATGCCAGGACCAGAGGAAGCAAAAAGACGGGTGTCATGGGACGTTCGGAGGATGAGCCGAGGGCGGCGACGGCTGGAGGAGGGCCTGGCGGGCGAGGGTCAGAACAGGGCGAGGGCGACGGGGCGCCACAGAGGGTTCTGAGGAAGAGGACGCCGAACGGCTACTGCTCTGTGGAGGAAGGGCCTAGCCGGCCACAGAGTGGCAGATCGGCCAAGGCGGGGGCCAGGACCGGAATCAGAACGAGGCGGGAGGCAGGCCAGCTGGGGGTAACCGCGAGGCGGAGGAGAGGAGAGGAGAGGAGGTGGTGGGGCTGAGCCGGCCTCGGCTCCCGCGCTGCGCCAGAGGCCCGCCAGGAGGCGCCGCTACTCCACGAAGCCGCGCCCGGCCTCTGGCGGCCACCGAAACCCCGCAGTCCCGCCTAGAGAGGCCCCGGAAGAGGCGGAGCGGCGCCCTCAGCGGCCGCTTCCGGCCTCGGCTCCGCCCAGAGGCCCGAACTGGGGGAGGTCGCTGTGGGCGGGGCGTGGGTACCGCACGTTGCGGTAGTGGGGACTGCAGTGGTCCGGGCCGATCGCACGCAGGGTTGGAGGGTCGTAGGGCAGG